AAACAGGTTAAAACCCAAGATTGGTTTCAAAAATGCCCCAAGACCTCCTCATGCAGACGCCTTTGAATTTGGACGTATGTTCCAAGCAATGGTCACTCGTGTTCATATTAAGTCATTGGCATTTTATGACTTAAAGAAGTTCATGGCGACCAAAAACTTGTGTAGTTGTTTTGGTACTAATTTGAATATGCTTTAAATATCGCCCTCGTTGGTACGCCCCTAAAAATAAATGGTTGATGAGGGCAACTTTTGGTCAGCGATCTGCTCTTGCCTGTAAGAAGTCCATGGCAGATATCTGGTGCGGTCCCTATTATCAAGAAACTTGAAATGAGCGTCAGAAAAAAAAACATTAAAGCACGCTCTCCAGTAAAAAGCAGGCTGGTTTTTTACCTTGATCTGACCTCCATACGTGACTCAAGGTCAATGGGAATCGTCTTGAGTACTTAATCAAATTTTCTGCTTATCTGAGGAGCCATCTCAGAGGTGTATAGCTTCTTTAAACATTTCGTTTGTCGCATTAGATTGCACGTTTTCCTAGAGATTGCCTTCGCTGGCACTCATGGTCCGACTTTGGCCTGCTATAGATCAGCGACCTTACGAGGTACATCCAGTCTACAAATCAAAATATCTGCTATTGACTTGCTTGCGGCTAAGCAATTTCTGGTGTGGCTACACCGCGGCATTCGAAAGTTATGCTATCAAAACCTTCGGGGGAATTGACTCCATCTCGGCAACATGTTAGGCTATTAGAAATCTTAGTGCTGTAAAGTGGACTTTGTTACATCATGATGCATCATGCTACATCTTAATGTTGCATTGTGAATTCCTTCTGATGAAATTTTTAACAAAGGTATAAAATCACTTCGTTTTCTTAGCCAACGTGAACATGCAAGTATAAACTCAGCACACACTGGCTGTGCCAACCACACATACGATACACACCTTTACAGTTTACGTCATATGGTACAAAGGGTTAGGTGATAACAGCAGATACCTAATTATCACCACTTTATTGTACAACTCGTTCTACTATACTCGTAGTAAATCTTCTTAGGCAGCCGGCGACGTTTGCTGCGCTTGATAAGTGGCTGCGGCGAACGCGGACCGGTTAACACCACGAAGTCGGTCACATGGGGCGTCACAAGATAACGTTGAGAAATTGCAGTGCCACTCCGATTGGGACCAGAGTATATAAATGACACATTAACTGCTGAATCAGCACTCAAACTGTAAAGAGAACGTTGTCCAACGCAATTCCTAATGACGGAATCGTTGCATGAGGTGACCCATCATAACAGCCGGCAGAGTTTTCTCGGCAGGCTTCTAGCTGCGACTTCTTCACTACACACAGAGTATCATCGCATGGCCTGAGCTACTGCGCCCCGTCTATTGCACGCCTTCTATTCACGAAAAGTCTAACCGGGTTCGCCTCGGTTCACAGCGAACCGGTTGTAGGATTGCGGGCGCGGCGGCTGGGCGCGGCAACCGCACCGATCCAAGCACCTGCGCTCGCAGCGACGTCCAGCACGAGATTTAGTCTCCGGTAGCGAGCGGCAGTTGATGTGCTGTTGATCAGCAGGCTGGAAAGTGCCGGAGCGGTGTGGACGCAGGGAGCTAGAATCGCTTTTGAGGTAGGGTGGGAGTGAAAAATTCCATCGCAAAAAACCGTGCGAGAGTGAAAAATCAATTCACAAAAGATGGGACTTTTCAGTGACACAAATGACGTGTTCCTCATTTTCCTGGTGTTTTGAACTGAAGTAATATTTTAAACATTATTCAGTGCAGCTCACAGCCCTGCCCTTCTTAACACCTGAACCCCTCTAGTTTCTGAGTTATGCGCCCGCAAAGGTGTGCAAGCTTTTCGGAGAAACTACTTCAAGGTCACCCAGACATCCATGACGCCAATCCTGTCATTCCATTATTCATGCGGGTGATCAAGGCCAATAAACATATAATGGTCTAGTCGTTCATATCTGGCATTCGTGTGCTGGCCGTCAATTGGTTCTCAATCAATGTTGTGCAAGGTTTAATGACGTTACGAAACAATGACGCATTAAGGAGCAAATTCACCATACCAAGAAATCGTGTTGTCTAGAGCAATTTTTTCCAACTTACAGAGGTGTGCCAATAGGTATGTGTGGGTGACATATATATATATATATAATATATATATATATATATATATATATATATATATATACGCGTGCGTGTACGGTGTGTGTATGTGTGTGTGCGCATGCGTGTGTGCGTGTGTGTACGTATGTGTGTGTGGGTATGCATGTGTGTGTGGTGTGTGTGTGTGTGTGTGTGTGTGTGTGTGTGTGTGTGTGTGGTGTGTGTGTGTGTGTGTGTGTGTGTGTGTGTGTGTGTGTGTGTTTGTGTGTAGCCATGTATATGTATTTGTATATGCCAAAGTATCAGATGCTTCTTCTTAAATGTCCGTGAAGTTAGCGATTTATTCAATGATTTTTTTTCAGCGACGAGTTCCGATTTCCCTGAAAAGCGGTTATGAAGGTCAATTGTGGCATGCAAACACCAAAAATGACCCTTATTTTGCAACACCATGTGACCTTCAAGGTCAAAAGCAGGGCAAAGGACGGGGAACTCCATATCACCCAAAAATTACCGGCCGATTTTCAACTTGCAAATGTCAGAATATTCAACACAGAAAAACTAGCGTCCGTCCAAAAGTCCTGACCTATCAAGGTCACACTACATGGTCAAACACGGGCTCAAAGGACGGGGAGCCCTATATCACCCAAAAATTACCGGCTGAGTTCCACTTTACAAGGGTCGGAACATTCACCACAGGAAAGAACCAGCGCCCATCAAAAAGTCCTGACCTCTCAAGGCTCACCCTTAAAGGGCAAACGCGGGCTCAAAGGACGGGGAACACCATGTCACCCAAAATTATCGGCCGATTTTTAACTTACAGACATCAGAACATTCATCACAGAAAGAGTTAGCGTCCGTCAAAAAGTCCTGACCTCTCAAGGTCACCCTTCAAGGTCAAACGCGGGCTCAAATGACGAGCAACTCCACATCACCCAAAAATTACCAGCCGATCTTTAACTTACAAAGATCAAAGCATTCACCACAGAAAGAGCTAGCGTCCGTCAAAAGTCTTCACATTGAAGTATTCTGATGTTTGTTAGTTAAAAATAGGTCAAGAATTTTGTGGTGATATGAAATTCCCTGTCTTTTGAACTCGCGTTTGACCTTCAAGGATGACCTTGAGAGGTCATGACTTTTTGACGGACGCTAGACTCTTTCTGTGAGGAATGTTCTGATGTTTAAAAGTTAAAAATCGGCCGGTAATTTTTGGGTGATATGGAGTTCCCCGTTCTTTGAGCCCACGTTTGACCTTAAAGGGTGACTTTGAGAGGTCAGCACTTTTTGACGGACGCTAGTTCTTTCTCTGGCTAATGTTCTGATCCTTGCAGGTTAAAAAACGTTCGGTAATTTTTTGGTAATATCGAGTAACCCGTCCTTTGACCCAGCTTTTGACCTTGAAGGTCAGATGATATTGCAAAATAAGGGTCATTTTTGGTGTTCTCATGCCACAGTTGACCTTCAGAACCATTTTTCAGGGAAATCGGAACTCGTCGCTGAAAAAAATCGCGGAATAAATCGTTAACTTAACGGATTCTTCTTGAAGCCTCTTATGTTGTTAGTTTTTGATAGGTTCTCCGGAGCGTAATTGATTTAATATAACTTTATTTTAAAGCAACAAGGATCCCGTAGTCCACTGGATCACTCATCAAGTCTTCTACGGTTCTCTTTCCGTCTTTTTTGAGTATTTCATGAATACCCGTGCACGCAAATTTTTCTGCGGGTCCACTTAGACTGCGGTGCCATAATGTCGCACTTGCTCATCCCTCCGTTGTGCGAAGGCTGCTGGCCATATCCCTTGCCCAAGCGTGAAGCGTTATGCCTTCATATGTTAGCCTGTTAAGCAAGTAACTTTCCTTCATAGATCTATAGCTTTCCCGACGATTATCCTAACAGCATTCAAATGCCTGTTTCGTTGTCCAATGTCCGGTTCGCAATCTGACACCGGTCGCGTCGCATGAAGTCAGTAATCCAAGCATGGGTCGGAGTAGAGCGACTGGACATGGAATCTGGGCCGGATTCACAGCCTTTTCGTGCTGGGCTCAGGTAGCGCGGTCCGCTTCAAATGATACCTGCTCAAACCTGGGCCTTGGTCTTGTCCCGAACGGCGGTGTTGATCACCATCACAAGCAGGCTGGGCCCAGTCGCGACTCACGTGCGGATCGTTTGCCAAACGAGCACCGGGCTGCCGACGTCATGCGCAGGGAGTCGACTTAACAGCCACGGGTGACTCCCACACGGCCATTGCTGTAGAAACCACTGCATGGCTATTCTCCACGTATTTATTTCACCTATGAAATCCCGTAGCGTGCGGACATAAGTGACCAACACCAAGATTTACGTAAGGTGGCAATGGTGGGAGCGGAGATAAGACGTCATTACTAGCACTCGTGCTCGACCAGGACTAGTCACGACAACACGGCTCCGCGCCGGACTCAGCTGTTTGCCCGACCCCACGTGTGCTGCGGGACGCTCTCGGCCGGCGCCCTTCCACACATGCCCTTCTCTACGTCGGCCACAGCAAGCCTGCATAAACACATCCTATCTCCAGCATCCGCCGTCAGACCAAAACGAACTTCTCAGAGCACGACAAAGGCGCAAACTACAGAGGGCCGCTCAGCGCACGCCGCCCTCGCCTCTGGACACTTCGCCCCCGCCCAGCTTGACTCACATACGACGACCGGCCGTTCAGCACCGCGGTGTGCCACGAGCCGCGCCGGGCGGCGGCGGCACCCGAGTCCGCGGCCGCCGCCCCGCGCGTCCACGGCCGGCCACGTGACCATCAGACTGAGGTGCAGAGCGCAAACCGCGCGAGATCGCGCGCCGCCGCTTGACGATGGCTGCGGCGCCGCTGGGGCGGCCGGTACGCCCGGCGCTGCGGCGGGCCGCGGCGACCCGGCCCCGCCCGTCATCTGCCACGACGATACACTGGGCCCCGGCACCTTGCATCGGAGAACATCAATACCTGGCGGCAATGTAAATCAAACGTACATACAAAAACAACGCATCTCAGCTCATGCTGTTCCATCTCTCTCACCATTCTCACCTAGCGAATCAGTCAGGGCGGCCCATTTTTCACGCGGCACAGGCTTTTCCATTACAGCCTTTCTCATTACTGCTATAGCCATCGTTTATGCCCACGCGGTTAGCACATGGCTCGCCCTCGGTCCATGGGCACTTCAACAATGAACTGATCCGGCGCATTAACGGAACGTTCCCGTTCTGGCATAGTCCAGACACTGGCAAATTTGGCAACCCATTATAGATACACTTGATAAGTTGTTCTAACCAATTCATCACGTTTTTTTACCCCAATTCGTCCAGTCGCTCATTCATAAGCCGCAATTATATCGACTGGGAAACAACTCGCGTATGGCGACGGACGAAACGCCGTGCCTAAACGAGCCTTTCACAACATAGCACAACCATAACTCATACACACTCAGGTTCTCACAGGTCGTGGTCGTCGTAGAATGGGTCCTCGTAATCATAGTATTCCTCACAGCTGCTGTCATACATATCACCGATGTCCCAATCGTCCGGGTCCTGGGCGCTGTAGCTGTCGTCGTCGCTCCAGAGCATGTCATCTATGATGCCACGCATGTGCAGCGGCACGGTGTTGGTATCGACCAGCCGGAGATGGCCGGGCGGCGGCGGTGGCGGCAGCTCCTGCAGGTCCGTCCCTGACGGCGCACAGTGCGACCCTCGTCAGCCGCGCCGCCCCAACACGTGGTGACACAGACCGGCTGACCGAGCTCACCAGCGCCGCACACTCTCGCACCGGCTGACAGAGCTCACCAGCGCCGCACACTCTCGCCCGGCTGACAGAGCTCACCAGCGCCGCACACTCTCGCACCGGCTGACAGAGCTCACCAGCGCCGCACACTCTCGCACCGGCTGACAGAGCTCACCAGCGCCGCACACTCTCGCACCGGCTGGCAGGGCTCACCAGCGCCGCGCACTCTCGCACCGCTGAGAGACTACCAGCGCCGCACATTCTCGCACGGCTGGCGGAGACTACCAGCGCCGCACATTCTCACATCGGCTGCGGGGACTGCAAAGCAGCATCGCCGAGGCGTGCAAAGTTCGAGTCAGCGCCTCTTAACTTCGCAGTGCGTTCTTCTTCGCTAACGTTGTACGCAGTGTTTCACGTCTGCGGCGAGCGTTTTGGACGTGCGGCGTGCCGGCCACATAGCTGCCGGACTGGACATGACTTGCCCAACTTCTTTTGCTACACATTTTGCTACAGTGTGAATGACGTCAGCTGAGTGGCAATAATTCGTAGACAAAATGTGACTGCCACCCTTGCTGTACACATTTTCACAGCGGCGCGGTAATGGTTGTAGGATGGAACATAGATAGTGGTAAGAGGGAAATATCAATCATGTCTCAGCTGTCATGTGGTATTTAATCCGTGTTGTTGCGTGATGCATCCACGCAAGGAGAGCACATACTATATAACATAATGCGAGACTGAGTCTGTCTCTGGGCTGAAGATTATGACATTGTCTCCATGTACAGCGTGAGTCCCTTGACACATGGCCTGGTTCACTGAGACGAGGTACAATGGTGGAATCTCCGGTGCATTTTGGTGGTAAGACATTTAAAATTGCACACTTTTCCTTCTCTTTTGCAGTTGGAAATTGGCATCCTAGTGCTTACGGTCCGCTTCAGTACAATACAAATTCCATGGTCCGAGTACTTTGATCCCTCCTGTCTATGCAGCATCACTGGTGTTGGCTAAATAACATTATGCATTAGATGACACTGGCATAGCGTGTTATACAAACAAAATGTATAGGGGTAAAATTAATGAAAAATGACGAAGTGCAAATTGCAATTTGCTTAGCACTCGTGGCTCAATGACGGGTCATCACTTCATCACAGCGGGCTTTAGCGGGCTGGACCCCCAGCTGGCCGGGGCGGGCCGGGCTGCGGGCTGACATTTTGGAAAAGGTCGTGTCTCCAGTCTGGAGACGGAGCGAGACGGGAGCAGAGCCGGGCCAGGAACAGGGTCTGAAGGCGAGGCGAAAATGGGCCGGGCCGTGACGGTCGCGGACAGCACCGCAGTCCAGCCAGGCGGAGACGCGTGAAGAGGGCCGGCACCGGGTGTTGCCGGAGGCGGTCACGGCACCGTCGCCACCTACCGCCCACGTAGAGTGTGACGTCACGGCTGTGGGGCAGCTGGCGCGCCAGCTGGTCGACCAGCTCAGCGCCGACGCTCTCCACACAGCTGAGGTCGAGCAGGGTGAGCGCCGGACAGCCGAGCACCAGCCTGCGGGGGGAGGGGGGGGGGGGGGGGGGCAGGACGGAGTCAATCGCGCCGTCGCGCCAGTCACGGCCGCATGGCCGTACCGGCAGCGGACACACACCACACTGGCAGCGCCGCCGACGACACGGCCCACGCCAGCTGGCCGATCGGCTGACTCTCTCAGATGACTCCGTCTGATGCTCCCCACTGGGCCGCGTCAGACGGCCGCTAGCGGAACGATCACACCAACACACCGGGCACCGCTGGCTGAGATCGCACCAACACACCGGGCACCGCTGGCTGAGATCACACCAACACACCGGGCACCGCTGGCTGAGATCACACCAACACACCGGGCACCGCTGGCTGAGATCGCACCAATACACTGGGCACCGCCGGCTGAGATCACATCAACACACCGGGCACCGCTGGCTGAAATCACGCCAATACACCGGGCACCGCCGGCTGAGACCACATCAACACACCGGATACCGCTGGCCGAGATCACGCCAACACACCGGACACCACTGGCTGAGATCGCACCAACACACCGGACACCGCCGGCTGAGACCACATCAACACACCGGATACCGCTGGCCGAGATCACGCCAACACACCGGACACCGCTGGCTGAAATAACACCAGCATACTGGGGACTGTTGGATGAGATCGCACCAACACACCGGGCACCGCTGGCTGAAATAACACCAGCATACTGGGGACTGTTGGATGAGATCGCACCAACACACCGGGCACCGCTGGCTGAAATAACACCAGCATACTGGGGACTGTTGGATGAGATCGCACCAACACACCGGGCACCGGCGCCCCAGGCACCGTCCGCACAGACGGCAGCTCATCAGTCCACACTCTCACAACCGCTGCCGGCCGAGGCGGCGCATCCGGCTCCCGGACCTCGACCGTCCGTCAGGCCGGAGACCTCGGACCACACCACCTGCCCGGGCGCTGGCCGTGCGTGGCGGAGCGCTAGCACCCCCGCCCCCACCCCGGACCGGCGGCGACCACTGACCGGGTGACGCCGGCCGTCGAGAACGCGGCCGGGCCCGAGTGTCCCTCGGCCAGGTGCAGCTCGGTCAGGGCCTTCCCGTGCAGCCGGTCCAGCAACGCGTCGGAGACGGCGCGGACGTAGCTCAGGTCGAGCACGTGTAGCTCTTTGAGCCGGCGCAGCAGCGCCAGACCGTTCTCGGTGGGCAGCGAGCAGCCTGAGAACGGCGGTGGCGCGTCAAGGAGCGACGAAGACGCCGGTCGGCACTATCACATACCAGCGAGGCGCCAGGAGGGTGCAACCGCACAACACACGGCGTCACAAGAAACCACGAGGCATGCCAGGCGCGTGATTGGCTGGATACTGGGTCACATACAGTCACGTTATATACATTGCTGGGACAGGAGCAGACAACTTCAAAACAAAGCACGCGAGGTGACGACGGCAGCTCCGGCACAAACAGGCGAGGGGACGACGGCAGCTCCAGTACAAACAGGCGAGGAGACGACGGCAGCTCCAGTACAGACACGCGAGGAGACGACGGCAGCTCCGGTACAAACAGGCGAGGAGACGACGGCAGCTCCAATACAAACAGGCGAGGGGACGACGGCAGCTCCAGCACAAACAGGCGAGGTGACGACAGCAGCTCGCGTGCAAACAGGCGAGGTGACGACAGCAGCTCGCGTGCAAACACGTCACATCGCGCCGTGACCGTCTGGGCGGGGCTGGACACAGCTCGTTTGAGGCGCGCCGGCCGATGCACTGGCAGCTGTCGAATGTATGCGGACAGGCGCGGCCGGGTGCGGTGCTGCATCACTCGCGGCTGGCAACAGCGCAGTCCAAGTCGGGACAGCAGTGCGCTCATGCGGCGAGCCGTCCTGAACACGCGGCGAACGCGAGTGACTGGCCAGCTGACCAAGCAAGAATCGGCAGCAGGCTAGACTAGACTGCTAAGGTCTGTACCCACCGACCCCTCGCACTGTTCCATGGCAGCACACTCCGCCGACATAGTCCGTCGGCGCGTCGCCGACAGAGTATAGGTGGCGTGCGGTGCGTGCCGTGCCTGACCGCGGCCGGGCGCTGGGCGCGCCGCCACCCACTGACCCTGCATATGGAGCGTGTGCAGCCCGGGCGCCAGGTCGACCAGGTGCAGAAGCGTCGCATCCGTCACGCCGTCCGAGAAGCTGACGTCCAGGATTCGGAGCGCCGGCAGCCCGGCCGGCGGCAGATAAGCCTGCGGCGTCAGTGACAGGCGGCGCGCCGCCAACCGCTCCAGCTGCGCGCAGGCGGCCAGCGCCGCCGCCAGGTCGGCCGCCTCCAGCCGCACCACGCCCGACACGTCCAGCTCGCGCAGCTGCGGACAGTTCGTCAGCTGGCGCAGGCTGGCCGACGTCAGGGCGCCGCAACTCGACACGGACAGCCGCTCCATGCTGGCCGGCAGCAGCGAGAAGCAGCGGCCCGTCACGCGCCCACTCGTCTTCAGGTCGAGCGCGCGCAGACGCGGCAGGTAGCGCAACAGCACCCACACGCTCGACTCGCTGAAGTGATAGTGGGACGGCAGATGGACGAGCTCCAGCCGCGGGCAGGCCATGCACAGCTTCTTCAGGGATTCTTCGTTGATGCAGAATCCGTCCAGGTCGATTTCCTCCAGGTTGCGGCAGTGCGCGGCTGAAACGGGGCCGGTGTCAGCGGCGGCAGCGCGAGCCCGTCCACAGCGCCACCGCAGTTAGAGCCCGACCGTCCGCGACGGGGCGCAGAGCTCGGGACCTCCACCTCAGACGGAGAGCACGACCGCACTCACACCCAATCCTCTTGCGTTATGGCTCACACTGGGCCCGGCCGCCAGCCATGCTGACTCGGCGAGGGTTCCAAGACTCAGGAACCCTCGCCGAGCCACTAGACGCGCAGTCCGTGGGGTTAGGACATGTCGGCGCGCGGGGACGCACTCCCCACATCCCCCGGCAATCCCTGCCGACCGCTTACAGCCACACGCGCCAAGGACGCCGCCGACAGCAGCCGACCCACTCACAGACAATGTCGAGCGCCTTCCAGGAGCAGTGGCGCACGTTGCCACCCGTGTGCAGACGGCGCAGCGCCGGCATGCGCTGCAGCAGGCGACGCAGTAAGGGGTCCGTCAGGCGGCGCGCGTCGCCCGCCGCGAAATAGGCACGCAGGTCCAGCTCGTGCCGCGGGCCAGCAGAGAGCGCAGCGCGGCCTGCCAGCGGCGCGACACTGCCGGCCGGGGGGGGGACGTCAGCGACATGGCGCCCCGACGCCCGCCGCGACGGCGGCCTGGCGCCCCGTTTGCACATCTTATTAATGCATATGTCCGCGAGGACCGGCGCAGCCGAAAAACGCTCCAGCATCGCCGACTGGCTACTGGTCTAATGGAAATAACTGCGAAGAATTTACTAACTTATAGAGCCGCAGGAATGAGTAGTCAAACCGCTTGGCTGAATTGTCCTTGCTACGTATTGTCGGCACCAGGATCACAAGATATCCAACACCACGCATCAGTTGTACTAAGCTGTCATCGAATCTCTCTGCGGTCCGGTGCACCGCACAACAGCAGACGTGCCGCCCTCCAGGCTGGTCGCCCTCCTCCCGTCGGTCCGCCACAGACCCACCTGACTGGGCCGCCATCTGCTCCCGCACGTGCAGCAAGGAGAGAATATGCTGGAGCAGCTCGGCGGGCAGGCGGTCAATGTAGCACGGAGCGGCCGACCGGTCCGCCGCTGCCGCCGCCGCTCTCTGGAGCGGACGCGGGGCCGCGCCGCCGCGGCGCGAGGCTGCGCCGGCGACACGCGGATCTGGCGGTGCATTACGTACAGGGGTGGCGAGCCGTCGGCGGCCAGCGCCCTGCAACGGAGCGACCGTCAGCGGCGCCGGCGCGACCCGGCGCGGTCGGCCACCGCCGCGTGTACCCACCATACAGCCGCCAGCAGACCAGACCCCAGCCAGCTCGCACAGCCGTTTAACAGCACTGGGCAAGGCACAGGTCAGCTTGAGGGGTGAACTAAACACCGTCACATCGCCTGACGGGGATGCAATGCGGTCATGCGAGGGCCATCGTGCTGCTCATAACACGATGCGGGTGATGGGTGCCTACTTTTGAGCGCCTGCCTCGTCTTTGAAGGTGATAAATCCAAAGCCTCTGGATTTTCCATTCGCGTGGTTTCTCACTAGATGCACACTAGTTACTTTTCCAAACTGCTCAAACAGGTCCCACAGTCTTGACTTGGAGGCCTGCAACACAGGCGTTAGTGCTGAGAAGGGATCAACAGGCCATACCTTAAAGGAATCCGCAGTCTATTCCTGCAACAAAACTAGACTTAGAAAGCGACGAGCAAGAGTTATACAAGAATACACGATAACACAGTAAGTGCTGCTATCATATCAGCAACAACTGATAGCAGACTTGAACCCATAGCAATGCATAAAAACATATGAAAGTACACCCAAGGATCCTGACCAATGAACTTGGAATTACAGAAACGCTGTCTACGCACAAGCAAACTATCCTTGCAAAATATCAGAATTCATCACGTCCATTACAATGAGACATTACACATGACAGCAAGAACACAAGATAAATCAAAAATGATCTAACTGACCTGCCATACACCGGAAGATGCTAATATATTTATGAATATAGCTATACCAAGGATTTACTAAAAGTTAGGCACACAACTTAATTCATACATTCTTAACCGCAACATACCGGTGCATCTTCTTTACTTGTGACAAGCATCATATTATATATATATATTATATATATATATATATATATATATATATATATATATACGCGTGTTGACCAGCCAGCAGTGGTAAAGTGAAGGACAATTTGTTTTATTTTTTATCATTGTTGGTCGCGTCCTTGTTATACATGAATCACCACGCATGATATGCACCAAATAACGCCGAAAATTCAGGATCATAAGGCGCTGGTCAGGTACCTAAGCCATAACACGCTAACCTCATTACAGGGCATATGGAGGAAATGTAATGAGATCAGCTACTAAGAGCACAAACTTTAGCCAAATGATAATTAACGATAGCCGGCCCGGATCGGAGCAGTGCCAAGTTCGGCCGAAGTGCAGCTTTCCGCGATCAATCAGCGGTGACGACATCACCACACCGGCACCGCCGCTCACTCACGCTGAACGGCAGATTGCCCGCGAACACCCTCCTGGCGACGGCGGGCTCGGCGGCGCCGGCGCGCTCGTGCACCGGTGGATCACCGCCGACGGCACCCTCCTGCTCCGCCCCGGCCCGCTTGTCCTCGGCGGCATTCTCAGCGAGAGCGGCGGTGGCGGCCGCCGCGGGTCCGTCGCCCTCCACCGACAGCACCTCGTCGACGGGCGACTGGGCGGCGGCGGCGGCGGCGGCGGCACTCGGCGGCGAACGGCGCCGGAAGCTCATCGGTGAGCCGATCGAGAACCGCGCCGGCCCCTCCTGTCCGGTGACACGCCGTCAGTGAGGGAGGGGGAGCGACAGGCAGCGGGCGAGAGGGGCCGAATGTCAGGAGCGCTCACACGCAGCACCTGTCTCAGGATATGGCGCAACACACGAACATAGCGTGGCGCAAATTAATCGCTCTGCATGATCCAGCATGAATCGCCAGTGTAAGGCTGCCTTTCACCAACTGAAGTTAAGGTAAACTAACATTGGTAAGGCCATTTCTCTAGCCCCTGTCCGCGTTACTCGATCCGAGGCCCACTGCGCTGACGTCACGCCCCGAGGTCCCAGTGCACTGTCAGCTGACTGGGACCCCGCTGCGGGCCCGCCGGCCGCCGGTCGTGCATGCCTCACCTGGTCCAAGCTGAGGTCACCCAGACCGCCGAGCTCGGCCAGGCCGCCACCGATGGCAATGCCCTGCGCCTCGGTGCGGCTCAACACGGGCAGGCTGAGCTTGCGGCTCTGACCTGCAGCAGGGCGGACCCGGTCAGTATGGCGGCGGGCGGCGGCGTCAGGTCCGGCACGGCAGGACACGGCAGGGCAGGGCACGGCAGGGCGGGGCACGGCAGGGCAGGGCACGGCAGGGCACGGCACGGCAGGCGGGGCACGGCAGGACACGGTACGGCACGGCACGGGGGACGGCACGGCACGGCGGCAGGGCACGGCAGGGCAGGCACGGCAGGGCACGGCACGGCAGGCACGGCAGGGCAGGGCACGGCAGGACACGGTACGGCACGGCACGGCAGGGCAGGGCACGGCAGGACACGGTACGGCACGGCACGACAGGGCAGGGCACGGCAGGGCAGGGCAAGGCAGGGCACGGCAGGGCACGGCACGGCAGGGCAGGGCACGGCGGGGCACGGCAGGGGCACGGCAGGGCACGGCAGGGCGGGGCACGGCGGGGCAGGGCAGGGCACGGCACGGCACGGCACGGCAGGGCACGGCACGGCACGGCAGGGCAGGGCAGGCAGGGCAGGCACGGCAGGCAAGGCAGGAGGGCAGGGCAGGGCAGGGCAGGGCAGTGCAGGACAGGGCAGGGCAGGGCAGGCAAGGTAGGGCAGGGCACAACAGGATACGGCAGGACAAAGCGGGGCAGAGCACTCACCGCGCAGACGGCGCTCCGGCGCGGCGCGGCCGCAGATGACGCCGTCGCTGGCGTCGCACTGCAGAGCGTTCAGGCCCAGCTGTGAGCCAGTCAGGTGCAGCCGCGAGAGGCGCGCCGACGAGCCAAGTGCGATCCGCTGCCGGGCCGGCCGCCGCGGCAACGCCAACATGACCCGGGCGCACGGCCGCCCGCCTGCGACGCATGCCGCCCGATGTCAGCCCGACAGCCAGCCCGCCATCCTGCTGCATACAAGGCTGCTGCAACCACCGGCGTTTTGCAAATCGCCCGTCTGACCTCTATACTTTACGGATGATTGTGACCCTGGATCAGGTCAAAGACCACCAAAAACGCCAAAACCACTCGAATTGACTGCAGGCAACTGCATGTGTCGAGACCATGAGCCAGTCGGCACAAAAATTCACCAGTTCATGCACCATTGTTGATAACGTACATTTTCAAGATGGTGGCCTTGGGTCAAGTCAATAGTTACTACAATTCATCAAACTGACGAAAAACCCTTCACGGACTACCCCATGCTACAAGTCTATGGGAATGACCACCATAAAATCTTAAGCAGTTGATGCTCTATGTTCGATGTTCGATGATGCCGATT